TCATCCCCATTTACTAATCACTTATTTTTATGCTTTTCTTCATTTAAAAAGGCCTATTTCACCTCTTACCCTTGTTTAGGCTTAATTGCCCAAGGGCACCGGATATCAATTAATAGAATTTTCTCCTGGAGTTTCAGATCCACTTCCATATGTGTGTGTCAGGAGTCAGGATTCTCTCCATTTCTGCTCTCCTCGGCTTTCTAAATCCAGACCTTTGTTCTCTTCTGGACTGTGGTCTGGTCTGTCACTGCGCTTTTCTCATTCTCTTCTAGAGCGTTGCAAACTTCAGTGTGCATCAGAATCACCGGGCTGGGCTGGTTAAAACAGATCTCTGGGCTTCATCCCCAGAGTTTCTGATTCAGCAGCTCTGGAGTGGGTCCTGGGAATTTATCTTCCTCATAATTTTCCTAAGGATGATGGTGCTTGTAGCCTGGGAACCACTGTTCTAGTCCACAGTTGTTTCTTTGTAAACCAAACTCCTCCACTGGGAGATCTCTGACTACAGAATAAAAGCCCCATCCCTTAGCCTGGAGGGCTTCTTGGAAGTGTTTGTTGGTACCTTCACTCTGAAGCCCTGGCTAGAGTGCAGTGGCATCATCATAGGTATTCTCCCATTCTGTGCATTGGAGATTTTTTGTTTGTTTTAACTGCAAGTCTCTGAGTTACAGAGAAAAGTTGCCTGAGATCTAAACAGAAGTAAAATATAATGGGTGGAAGCCAGTATACCCAGGCAAAGGTAAGACTGAAAATAAATGGTAGGAAAGACTGAAGGAAAGCCTTGCTTTTCATGCTCTTGTAGAGGCAAGGGGCTGGCCCAAGGAGGAGGCCTAAGACGGAAGTGATCAAGCATAGAAGAGAGGCATGTGAGAGGGTCCAGAGAAGAGAGGAGTGGTGGGATGTTCAGAACATTTAACCAATGATGTCCTTCACTTTTCTAGATCACTCTCATGCCTCCTTGGCTATTCCTCACATTCAAATAATCAGGCCTGATGTTTTATGGTTGTAGCTCATAAAAGGGATACTTCAGCAAAAAACAGAGAAAATAGCAATTTCTTTTTGGCTTTTGGGTGCCAAAAGTCTAGCTTCTTAGGTTGATGAGGATAAAATATCTTAGAAAGTAGAAAGTAGGAGCTAAGTTCCCCACCTCGAGAGTAGAATGGATTCCTGTGCTGGGAGTGTTGGAGGGAAGAGCTGAGAGCTAGCATGGTATCACGTCTCTGAGAAAGGGTCCCTATGTTTATTGCATGTGCTCAGCCCTGGGATGGCAGCAGCGAACCACCATAGATAGCTCTGTGGGATTTGAAAGCCGGCGAAACCCATGCCCCATGTCTCCTGGATAGAGCTTAGAGCCATAAGACCCCAGTAAAGATATGAGATTCCAGTAAAGGCACAAGACCCCAGTAGGTGTATTTGGGCAAGCACAGGGCCTTGGGAATTTAGACTTGACTATGTTTCATGAGTATAGAAGAAGAAATTGCTGCCTTAGGTGTCCAGGGAAATAGGACTTTAAATAGGTTCACAATTTTCCACAACTCAGGGTAATGGAAAAGCAGTATGATGATTTCCAATCTCCAAAAGGCAGCATGGAGGTAGGAACGGAAACCACATGGGACTAAAGCTCAATCTGGCTGAGATCTGCTTACACAATCATTATCTTATAGTTTCAGAACAGCATGTGAATATTATTAATACAGGCCTAGGCAATTAGAAGAAAAAAACAAGGCAGGTGGGGAAGTGGTGATGCGAGGAAGATATACTATTTTCTTTTTATAACAAGTAGTCAATTGATACTGTAATTGATTTCAACCTCTTAATGCTTTCCATGATTTCTTAATGTTGATCATTCTGTAGTCTTAGCATCTAGAACAGAGCCTGGCTCAGTATTTATTGAATGAATGAATCCATACAATTCCTGCATTTGAGGGTTTGTGTCCATTGTTTTAAAGGAATGTTACAGGTTTCATTCCCTGGAAAGCATATCCTGATATGGAGTGTAATGAGCTTGGATTTTATTAAGGAGTGCCTTTAGCATCAACACTTATGGAAGGAAAAAGAGGAAGCAGGTTTGGGCAGAGAAGGAGGTTCAGCTACATTGCAGGCCTAAGCACTATCTCACTACCTCTCCACAGGGACCTCCAGGGTGAGGGGAGCTCTTCACAGTTGTTCCAAGACAGCTGGGCTTTCATATTCCTGCATCAATTAGTCACTGATGTGGGCTGCCACAAAACAGGGCATGGCTTGGGCCAGAGGACCCTCTGCAATGAGGCAGTCCTGACGGGGCTGACAGATGGAGGCACTTTGCCAGTGGCACTCTCTCCCTACAGCTGGGGCAAGAAGTCTTTCATTGAAGAGAGATCTTGGCAGCATATGACTTCTACCCCACGAGCCAGAAGTTAAATGCCTTGTTTGAGGTCATACACCTTGGATCCAAACTTAGTTTTGTCTGACTCCAGAGCCCATAACCTTAATAGATTTGCTTTATTGTACCTGTTGATGTAAACTCTTTCCTAAACTGGCAAGGGTAAGAGTTAGATGTGGGAGTTATTCTCAGCCTGCTGGGTTATTGCAAAATGCAGGTCAAGGTAAAGGACTTTTGTGTGGCACTGACCCCAATCCATCAAGAAACACTCAGTGCTCCGCTCAGCTGGGAGCGCTTTGTATTGAATGATGTGACCAACTGATAACTGCTATTGTAACTAAGATCACAGTTTGAAATTGCTGCCCACCTACCTTGCTAACAAGTTTATATTCCCTAAAATATTATACAGTCAGATAAAACTGATTAAGCTTAGCTTGAGTTGTAGAGTATATTAATTTAATCTATGGCCATAAAATATTCATTAAATCAGTAGTTTGCAAAATGTGGTCCCTACTCAACAGAATCAACACCACCGGGGGGACCTTCTAGAAATTCTCTGGCCCCCTGTAGACCTACTGAGTCAGAAACATCAGTAGTGGTAGGGCCCAGGTGATTCCAATGCATGCTAGAGGGTGAGAACTACTGGAAGAGATGATAATGATAATTAGTAGGAAAAAACAACCCGGGTTTATATCGATAATTAGCAAATAAACTATGTATAAATATTCTTTTAAAAATGATTTGTAGAACTAATTCTCAAGTCAAGAAATAGTATGTTGCCAGCACCTTAGATGCCTGTTTGTCCCCTCACTCACACCCCACAGCAAATATTTTGTTTTTATTTTATACTTTTTTTTTTTTTTTTGAGACAGAGTCTCGCTTTCTTGCCTAGGCTAGAGTGAGTGCTGTGGCGTCAGCCTAGCTCACAGCAACCTCAAACTCCTGGGCTCAAGCAATCCTCCTGCCTCAGCCTCCCGAGTCGCTGGGACTACAGGCACGAGCCACCATGCCCGGCTAATTTTTTATATATATGTATTAGTTGGCCAATTAATTTCTTTCTATTTTTATAGTAGAGACGGGGTCTCGCTCAGGCTGGTTTTGAACTCCTGACCTTGAGCAATCCTCCCGTCTCGGCCTCCCAGAGTGCTAGGATTACAAGGGTGAGCCACTGCGCCCGGCCTATTTTATACTTTTAATATTTAGGAATACATCCATGAGTGCATGTTTTTGAAGTTTGTGCAAAATAAAATAGTATTTAATAATAAATATAAAAAATGGTTTGAATATTTTCTCTATTGCGTTCATAGTATTTCTTTTGCATAATGGACCTCACCCAGCCAGAGATCCCAACTTCCTAATTAGTAAGGTCTGAATTAATGAAAATTAAATATTACCTCCTTGGGGACTAATGGATATGCAAGTGGAGCATGGCTGTGCCCCACTGACAACAGCTTGACTATTTACTCCCCCCTACCAGGAGATTAATGGGATCTAAATTGAATACTTAAGTATTCCATTCACATAATGGAAGCATTGTTAAGCAAGCCTTCCTTAAATTTTTTTTTTGTTGTTGTTGTTGAAAAATATTATAAAATTGGTGTCTAAATCCCAGAAGTCAATGGGCAATCTTGAAAAAGATCACTTAATGTGCCCGGTGGGAAAATAATAACTGGCACTTAACATGTCACAGGTGATGTGAGTAGCTTTCACTCCTTCACTAGAACATTATATCCAGTTGAAGACTGAAATACTCAGTTCTTTCATGTTGAAATATATGTTTACAGGAAAGTGAGTTTGTGTGCTATAAGCAAAGGTGTGTATCCCATTTTGATTCATTTATTTTTAAGAAGCACTGAAAACTTGAAGGTAGGTACTAAACTCCGTTAGGCAGTGGGGAAGGCGAAGGTGCATGTCTAGACCGATATCACTACAAAGCCATGTGGAGATGTAAGATAGGTAAGCATGCGCTAGGTGAGGAATTAATGCAATGAACGGGAAAAGAGTCCCAGTGAGTGGGGCAGTTTGTACGGATAGGAGACTTTTAGGGAGCCAGCAGATAGAACTTATTGGGAAACGTACTTGTTCAAAAGTTGGAGTTTTACAGTGATGATACTAAGTCATCAAAAGAAGGATAAATATGTTTCAATTTTGTTCTATAAATGTATATTTATAGAAAGGTTTCTATTTAAAAAATCAACTAACATAAAATTTGGCCGGTTCAAAGATTAACCACCCCACCTCGCCAACTATTTGGGTAACTTTGTTATCCAAGTAACTATTTTCCTGAATGATCCAGACAGCCGATGAGATTTTAATGAAGATTCTAGTATTGAAGTAGTATATTTCTAATGGTCTTATGAAGTCTTATGAAGACTCATAAGATTAGGTAGATTAGCAAATCCTCAAGTTCTGGCCTACTCATCATGCCTTATATTTAAAATATTCTATCAAGATTAGGAAAAAAGTTCATCAGAAACACATGCTAATATTTTGCTGGCTATATTGTTTGTTTTTGCATGCATTCATCCAATAAACATTTGGTTTCTTACAAAGTCCCTTAGCAATTCTCCTTACATTCAAGATCCCACTCTGCTATATGATTCCTCTTATTATATGAGAATTTAACAGAATTTCAGAGGAGTCAGCTGAAAATATTCCATGTGCATAAATTTATTTTAAATTTTATTGCATCACATTATACAAGCATTAAACATGGCTTCATGTTGATGATTATTTAAATGTGAAAATTCATCATTCATGTCAGTACTTTTTGGCTATTTACAAGTAAGGAATTTCTATGTACTTTATATATCTCTGTATTTGTATGTACATATGTAGGAATACATGACTATACATATGTACACACAGAAATACATCTATGGCCATACACATAGCTATAGATATGTCATATACAATAATCTTTTCAGAAAGATCTGAAATTAAAAAAAAAGGAAAGAAAAAGTTGTAAACAGGGTCTTGTCTGTGTCGTTGGTGACATGGAATTAGGACCATATGATGACATTCTAGGAATGTGTATCCAGGTGTCCAAATACCCTTTTTAGCCCAGTGTCTGTAAAATTCACACAGGATAGAATGCAAAAAAGGTAGCAAACAGGCTGAAAAACAGGCCCAGTATACAAGTTCCCCTTGGTTTTAAAAACTTGAGAATGTAACTGCCCATAATGTGCATGCTTGCTTGGTCAGGAATGGTCTATGGATAGATAGCAGTTGTGTGCCGGACTGCGACGTGACTTCACAGCAGCGTGACTGCAATGCCAGTCCTCCACTGGGTGCTGACCCCTCGCGGCAGCCTGTGTCTGCAACATGCACTGCGCTTGCATTTTTAGTCATTCACTTGGATGTGCTTTTGCACAGCTGGGAGAAGTAAACGGAATTCAGGTCCTTGGCCTGGAAAGGAACTACTATCTGGAAAGAGAAAAGAAGGCGTTAAGATCCTATGTGCACACAATTGCTTAACAACATGATGTGAATAGTTTGTACTTACCATCATCAAAGCATTTGTAACTCCATACTGAGTCAGGTACGGTATAAACATTATCATGCCTGTTTTACAGATGAACAGACTGAGTCAGAAAGCCAGTCTGAAGCAACACGACATCCTGCCTACTGTTGGGGGAATAGGGACAGAGAGGTAAACACTATCCCTTTCAAGCAAAAACTAGAAATGGCCTGGGCACGGTGGCTCACTCCTGTAATCCCAGCAATATAGGGGGCTGAGGTGGGAAGATCACTTGAGCTCAGGAGTTCAAGACTACCCTGGGCAACATAGCGAGACCCCTGTCTCTAGAAAAAAAAACAAAACTGGTTAAGTGTGGTGGTGTGTGCTTGTAGTCCTAGCTACTTGGTAGGCTGAGGCAGGATCAAGAGAGCTCTTGAGCCCAGGAGTTCGAGGTTATGGTGACCTATGATTATGCCACTCCACTCCAGCATGGGCAACAGAGCAAGACCCTATCTCTTAAAAAACAAGCAAACTAGAAATTGCGGCTTTGGGAAGAAAGTAGCCAGTAGTGGTGAGGCCAGAAGAAACTCTCGGTTGGTCATTGGCCCTACAGTCCAGGACATCCCCAAGGTGTGGATACTGCCGCCGTTGCACTTTGGTCTCTGGCTCCTGGAGCTCTCAGGAACAATTCTCTTCACTAATGTCTGCCTCCCACCCTAGCCCAAGCCTCTGGACACAGTCAGCCTTTCTCCTCCAAAGACTGACAAGAGCCAGAGAAGAGGTGATCAGAATGGGTGTGGGGGCCAGAAGCTTGGAGCAAATCTCAGAATCTCAGAAGGTTAAAGCTGGAAAGGTTTTTAAAGTATGGTTTAGTCCAATTTTTGCAAAGGTAGAAACTGAATCCACATGAATGCCCCAGATCATACAGACACAGACTGGAAAAGCCAGGTCTCGAATCAGGAGGACTATAATATGACACTTAACAATGACACAAATCCCGCACGGTATTCTACAGCTTACTTTATTAAGTAGTAAATGTCTCACATACATTCCCTTCCTTCAGCTGCATATTCATTCTGCCAAATAGGCAGGCTCAAAAAAGTTAAGATTTTCTTTGCCAAGGTAATAGAGCCAAATAGCAGATCTGGAAAATAATAAAATTACTAAGTAGCAAAACATTTCTTGCCTCTAAAGCCTACTCTGGAATTGACAGGAAGGTTAGTATTCAATTGTGTATGACTTTTAACCCTGTGGGGTCTTGGTTATTTCCTCCAAACCCACCCTTCTGGACTCCAAACACGGATCTGGGTTGAGACAACTAACTTAACAACAAACATCTGGGCAGATATCGCTGCATCTTAACCTACAGGAAAAGTGAAAACTATACTTTTTTCCTATGTATCTCACTTTTCTTTTGGAGGCCAGATTTTGAAAAATGTCTTCCAAGTTTTCAATTAAGTGGTGAAAAGAGAATTGAAGGGCAAGGAAGGCAAATGAGATTCAGAAATAAAATTAGATTCACAGAGTATCAGAATGAATAGCTCATCTAAACATTTCATCTTTGAGGAAACAGGCCCAGAGAAGTTAAGTGACTTGTCCCAGGTCATGCAGCTAATAATTGACTTGCTAGAGAGAAAGTTTCAGAATAACTTTCTGATGGGATGTGTGGGAATATTATGGAGCTGTCTTACAATGTATTCAGCCTTAAGCCATTGAACTACTACCTGAATGTGCATTTAATAGGAGCCATGTGTGTAACGCTGTGCTAGCCAGTTGGAAGAATAAAATTATGATCCATACAGCTTTCCCTAAGGATGCTTAGATGGTGTGTGGGGAATCCTGATAACTATTTGAAAATCATAAATTAACAATACAAATAAGTATATTTTAATACATTTGGTACTGATGGCAGTTAACCAGAGACATTTAGAAGGAATAAGTTTCAATGGGCTGATGAGTCGGAGGAAACCTTAGAGGCTATAGTATGACTTGGATCAGCCTAGAAGGAAACAGTAAGTGAATGATGGAGGGAAGCCCATCAGGGGTGAGAGGAAAGGCTGACTTCAACCAGGAAGAAGGGGCATGTTTCCCTGAGAGTATTAAAGCGAACAGCCTGCCTGGAGTATAAGGGAGAGAAAGGTTTAATTTCAGGGAACACCTGGCCCAACTCATGAAGACCTTGATTGGCAGGCCAGAGTCTGGCAAGGAGGCAGAGAAGAGTTGCAGGAGGTGTGTGGGAAGGGAAGATCAAGCTACATTTGCTATTACCAAATTAGAAATAAGCTGGTCTTTAAGGAGTTTATTTTGATCCCTGTTTTTGCAACAATGGCGAGCTTTGTTTCAGGAAGTCCAAAGCACCCTCTCTCAACCTTGGAGTGGTTTCGGGTCATGAGAACCCCTCGCACCTACCTGGTCACGGCCACTCGTTGTGGTGTGCTTTTCCATTTTTCTTCCTCTCCTTTCGTTCCTTTTGGAGGCGTTCCAGTTCTGCTTCATACATCATCTCCTGAATCAAGTACTTTTCTCTTCTCATTCGATCCCTTAGGTCTTTTGGGAGGTCTGGGATCAGATATGAAATGAGGTGCTTTATACAAAATACGAGGTGCTAAAACACAGAGGAGAAGGCAACAGAGTCAGGTCTATTGTCCATCCTTAGTCTGGATGAGCTTTGGGAGTTGGCTCAAGAAGGACATGGAGCCTCTAGGGTACCTGGAAAGTGGGAAGGGGCCAGGGGAGGTGTATGTAATGAAAGAGCAAAAGGTAGGTGAGATCTGAACTTGGTCTGATGGCACCACCTAGGGACTAAGAAGGGGAGTCAGGAAGGCGGGGAGGAATGCAGAGAATCTAGAGGAAGCTGGAGAACGTATACTGTGGAATCAGAAAACCCGGGTGTGAATCCCAGCTCAGTAGCTTTTACTGCTTAAGAGCTGTCTGTCTACCTGAGGATAAGTCACTTAATTTTTCTGAGCTTCATTTTGTTCATCTATCAAATGCTTATTATTGTGAGAATTAGAAGAAAATGTTTAAAAAATGCTGTGTAGACTGTCAAATCTTTGCAAATCTTGATTGTAAGAATTATCTATAAGCCTAAAGGAAGGGATCATTTCAGGAAGAAACTTTTTTCCTTTTGGTAAACTGTCACAAATTCTGTACCTGAAATATTAATAGCTGGAATTTTAGAATCACTGGTCATTTCTGTTCAACTACAACTTACGAACTAATAAAGTACCAGATGCAGATGATAATTTAAAGCCCTTACAACTCTAAGGTACTAAATAAAGACTAAATAATGTTCAAATGATACTACTAAGTATTCTTCATTTTATGCAAAACTTGATAAATTTGATGATGCATGGATGGTACATGATTCTGCCAATTATGAAGTTTCCTGTGTAATTTCTAGTATTTTTAAATAGTTATAATAAAATACTGAAAAGAAGTGAAAAGTTCTACTTGAAAAACCAAATAATCACCTACTGTGACTCATCATTTTATTCTGTCTGAAAAACTTTAAGATGGTGACAGGTTATATCTCCTTTAGGCTGGGCATGGTGGCTCACATGTGTACTCCTAGCACTTTGGGAGGCTGAGGATTGCTTGAGGCCAGGAGTTTGAGACCAATTTGAGCAAGAATGATATCTTGTCTCTATGAGAAATAGGACAATTAGTCTGACTTGGTGGTGCACACCGGTAGTCCTAGCTACTCGGGAGGCTAAGGTAAGAGAATCACTTGAGCCCAGGAGTTTGAGGTTGCAGTGAGCTATCATGACACCATTGTACCCTATCTTGGGCAACAGAGTGAGACCTTGCCTCATTAAAAAAAAAATCTCATTTAAAGAGAGACTCAGTCATTGATAAGCTAGTTTCCAGAGAAGAGCAGCTTAATATTGCTTTCTCTTGGTTCCCTGAAATGAAGGTAAAAGCAGCGAATAGTCTCAAAGAGTTCTTCTGGTCCAAGCCAAGAGGCAACCTTGGCTTGCATTAATATGACTCCAATAAATGTGACAAGAGATGACATTTCTATTTATGGCTAGAGTTACAGAAATATAAACTATATAGCAATTTTCTTAAAGACTTAAAGAAAATAGATTACATATTTTTATTGACATATAATATAAAATATTATAATACTAGGTAGATTTTACCTTATAATTCCATTCTGGATCTTAGACAATGAAAACTTATTTGTGTGCTTGAATACAAAGAATGCCATAATGCTACCCAGAGGTACCACTTGTCATACCTAAGCCAATGTTTTTTAAACTACGGTCCTTAAACACCTGCATCAGAATAATCTCGGAGTGCTTGTGAGAAGCAAGTCACAGACATGATGTATCAGAATCTCTGAGATGGAAAAATGCAGTTTTAGAACTATGTTGAAGAACTGTGTTTAGAACTAAGTTTAAAAACTGTGTCCCTAGAGTATTAAATTTAGGACCAATGAGTTCTGACTTGTTCATTAACAACCAACAATGGACTTTCAAATATTTCCTGGATAATTCAAATGTTTTCATTAAGGAAAAGAAAAAAAAGATAAAAGAGAAATTACATAATATGACTATACTACTTCTGGAAGTAGAAAATCACATTCAAAGTCCCCCACCACTTATTTATTTAAAATATTTTTTTTAATTTATTGATTTTTTTCCCAGCATATTATGGGGGTACAAATGTTAAGATTACGTATATTTCCCTTGCCTCCCCTCCCCTCTCAAGTCAGAGCTTCAAGGGTGTCCATCTCATAGTTGGTGCGCATCGCACTCATTATGTATGTATATACCCATCCCCTCCCCCCTACCTGCCTGACATCTGATAAATGTTGTTTCTATATTTCCACTTAGGTATTGATCTGTTAATACCAATTTGCTGGTGCCCACCATTTATTTTTATTCATTACTCCTAGTGACTTCGTTACGTTAAGGGAAATAAAGGACGTGGTTGGGAAAACTTACCTCAAACACAATGATAAAAGCCAGTCGAGCTGCTAGAACGTGCCAGAACTGCAGCGTGTAGCCATAGGGCACCAGTGAATGAGGAGAGTCCCGGTAGTCCCGGTATCTGTGAAGACACAGGAGAATGCTGCATTCCCAACTCTGATTTTTCTAATCCCCAAGTCTCTTCCATTCCCACTCTGTAGTCCTCATTCAATGGGAGAGAAGTTTCTGTCTACTAGATATCTGTCATTTTGTTTGTCCAGCATTTTCTTCTTCTGATAAAAGAGTATCTCTTCTCCTCTGGGGAATCATCTACGTGGGTTGGATAGGGCTTGCCCCCCTGCCTGACCCCAACTCAAAAGATGAGCCAGACCTGAGCAGTGAAACTCATCACCAGGACTTCTGCTAGAACCGTCACTTAGCAACTATCGCTAAGCCCACAGAAGGTAAAAGCCTGCAACAGCCGGTGGCCACCGCAAACCGTATGGAGAGAGAATGAAGCCACCTGAGAAGGAAGTCAACGGAGCAAAGCAGAGAGTTACTGTCCTCTTGGTATCTGGTCATTGCTAAAGTTCATACCAGCCATTAACTCTCCCAGTTACCTAAATCCACAAATTTCTTTTTGGTTGAGTCAGTTTATACTGGATTTCTATCCCTTGCCACGAAAGCACTTCCAAATGTGTTCTCCGGCCATCACTTTGAGTCAGCATCAAATGGCACAAATGTTCATTGACCACCTGTTGATTAGGGGCCAGGCACTAATGTAGGAATGTTAATCCATGTCACCCCATTGTATCCTTACAGGTACCATTATTATTATCACACGTGGGAAAACTGAAAAGTGACTTGTTCAATATCAGACAATTTTCACATATTTGAACCCAGTGTTCTTTTCATTAGCTCCAAAAATGTAGAAATCTAGAAATACTGGTTATTCCAATAGTTCTGCTGTGAAGACATACCAAATTGCCTTGTCTAAATAAAAGTTATGACTATTCAGGTTCTCATATAAGACAGGGCCTATCCTCAAGGTCGGCACTGATTTGCATACAAGATGATTTCCTATGCCAAATATCTTTGAAATGTATCAAGGACTACAAATATATGAGCTGTCACCATTTTCCTCATCATCACAATCATCATCTTAATTATAATTAGTGCGTATAGGTATGTAGTAATAATGTATCATGATTATTTTGTCATTAAAGTGATATTTATTATGAGTAGCTGGTGCTAAAATTAAGAATGAAACTATTAGTGCCTTAAAACCGCTGGTTCTCTCTATGGTGATGAGGATTAGGTAATTGTCTAAAACACTGTTCTTTCCAATATATGGTTATCTGCTCTTGTCATAGGTCCAATACCTATGCATGGAATTTTAGAAAGAATAATTTTATTCAGGGCTAAAAGTGTACATGGACTATTCTAACCTTCATTCACTTTTTGCAGAGTACAGCTAGTTAAGAACCACGAATTGTGTTTTTCACAATTAAAATAACAAATGTAATTCCTTTGTTCTTCTTTAACTATCTATATTTCAGATATAGTCCAAGTAAATATTCTAGAGGCACAATAACAGTATGCTTTTTGTTATATATAGGGTTGGCTATCAGACAAAGGTATATTTATAAAGGGAGGAACCTGGAATTGTTTCAGTAGTCATCTTCACTGATTCCTTAAACTTTTTACACAACGGTGTTCACTAACGCTGGGAATTCTTTTCTGCACATTAGTTTTCCCTGTCAGTAACATTAGGGTCTCTCCGTCTCACCCTGTTGTGAAAATTTTACACGCCTGCTCTGTTCTACTCTGAGTTTGAAGATGACAGTTGCAAGTGGAGCTCTCAGTTTTCACTCTATCCTGTCCTCGACCCCACTGGCCTTTGCCATCAGACAGAGGCTTGGGAAAGGGCCACGTGCAGATGTCATTTGTGTCCTGCTTCTCTGCCTTTGATGTGGTGCTATTTATTTGCAAAACAACTGTGGCTGCATGTTCTTTGGAACTAGTACAAAGAAAACACTTCCCTTTGCTGCTGTAGAGACAGCCATGAAGCTAAGTTTCAAAGCTATTAACGCTTTGCACTTGAATGTCAAGTGTGGATAATGTCAAGTGGATAATGAGAAAAAACCAAGCGAGTGCAAAGGGTTAAAGTCAAAGTTTTACTGTTCTAATCTTTTAGTCCAGGACCTTCAAAGACACTAAGTACTCCGTCTGGTGGCATTAATGTTTGGAGGAAATTTTTTCAAGTGACTCAAGAGTTGTTTTTTGAAAGTGACGCTTTTAATTTCTTGGCTTCAATTTTACATGTGGGAGGGCAGCGTGTTTCCCTTTTGGCTTAAGTGCATCCCCTAAAGCTGCTTCTATTTCCCAAGGATCAGACTGGCTTGCAAGGATTATGTTCCTAGCACCAGGTGTAGCGCTGTATATAATTCTGATTTTTAAACTGTGAAAATAAAAGTATATTTGAAAGAATGATAGGTGAACTTCATATATCCCCCATTCTGTGCCCCCATTCAAGATGAGACAGAACATGGTCAATGGTTTAGAAAGAAATGCCTTGGTTTATTTTCAGCCGTCCCAAGAGGAAACCCCTACTCTTTCTTTTTTTTAAATTTTGGTATATTATGGGGGTACAGATTTTAAGGTTTCAATAAATGCCCTTTCCCCCCCTCTCCCCACAAGTCTGAGTCTCCAGCATGACCATCCCCCAGACGGTGCATATCTCACTCATTATGGTATGTATATACCTCCCCCCTCCCCCCTGCCCAATACCCTATTACTGTAGTACCTATGTGTCCACTTAGGTGCTGCTCAGTTAATACCAGTTTGCTGGTGAATATATGTGGTACTTGTTTTTCCATTCTTGGGATACCTCACTTAGTAGTATGGGTTCCAGCTCTAACCAGGAAAATATAAGATGTGCTATATCACCATTGTTTCTTAGAGCTGAATAGTACTCCATGGTATACATATACCACATTTTATTAATCCATTCTTGGATTGATGGCACTTGGGCTGTTTCCACAGCCTTGCGATTATGAATTGTGCTGCTATAAACATTCGAGTGCAGGTGTCTTTTTTGTAGAGTGTCATTGGATCTTTTGGGTAGATGCTCAGCAATGGGATTGCTGGATCAAATGGTAAATTCACTTGTATCGCTTTAAGGTATCTCCATATTGCTTTCCACAGAGGTTGAACTAGTTTGCAGTCCCACCAGCAGTGTAGGAGTGTTCCCCTCTCTCTGCATCCACACCAGCATCTATTGTTTGGAAACTTTTTGATAAAGGCCATTCTCACTGGAGTTAAGTGATACCTCATTGTGGTTTTGATTTACATTTCCCTGATGATTACAGATGTTTAGCATTTTTTCATATGTTTGTTCATTCTTCTCTCTTCTTTAGAAAAGTTTCTGTTCAAGTCCTTTGCCCACTTTTTAATAGGGTTATTTGATTTTTTCTTGCTGATTTGCGTGAGTTCTAAGTATATTTTAGTTATTAGTCCCTTATCAGATGGGTAGGAATGAAAAAATTTTCTCCCATTCTGTAGGCTGTCTGTTTATTTTCATGACTGTTTCTTTGGCTGTGCAGAAGTTTTTTAGTTTGATCATGTCCCATTTATTTATTTTTGTTCCTGCTGTGATTGCCTTCGGGGACTTCTTCATAAACTCTTTGCCTAGGCTGATGTCTAGAAGAGTGGGAAACCCCTATTCTAATTTCTGTGACAACCACCCTCTTGTTTTCCTTTATAGTTTTATCACCTAAGCAGGTTTTCCTAAATAAAATAGCATTAAGTTTTTCTGCTTTGAACTGTGTAAATGGAATCATATTGTATGCATTTTTCTGTGGTTGCATCTTTAATTATTATCCAATATATTTTTGGTTCTCAATTCTATTTCATTTTCTGTTTATCCATTCCTGTGACACTACCACACTGATTAATTACTATAATTTTATACTATGTCTTAACATAAGGTAAATCTCTTACATCTATTGCTTCCCCTATCCTGAATTTCATTCTTATCATTAATATACATGTATATATGTATATACATTTGTGTGAATATTATACTATTTAGTTTTGTTTGTTTTTGGATTTTATAGAAAGCATATTTTACTGTATGTAGTTTTCTGGGAACTGCTTTTGTTCAGTATCATGTTCCTCAGATTCATTCATACTGTTGCATGTAGCTCGTTTATTTTCATTGCTGTATAACAGACTGTAGTGGGACTCTATATTAGAGTTGTTTCATGTAGTATATATTTAGATTTACTCATGGGCTGGTCATTTCTATATTTTCTATGACCTTCCCTAATTATAGAAGGCCCTGAAAAACAAATCCAGCCCACTCAGTTCAGCAAATTGCCTTTGGGTAAAGTTGGCTGCAAGACTCTGTGTACCACTCTAAGGTCTGCCTTCATTTAGTTTTGGCTTTAGAGTATCAAATTTTCTTCCCAGATCATCGATGCATTTGAGGTGTTTTTAAAATTTTCTCTACATGTTTAGATATGTTAAGCCTGAGAGCTGATCTTGGTGTCTCACCTGCTGTGTGACTAAAAATAAAAGTCCCATGTTTCTATTTTTCATGATGGTATGTGTGTATGTGTGTGTGTATGTATACCACAATTTAAAAGCTCTGAATAAACCTGAAAATGTTATTTGATCTTATTTTTAATTGAAATTTTAAAAATATTTTCTTTAGGGAAGTTTTAATAAAAGGCTAAACAAAACCATCATCATTCAAATTAATGATGACAGTATCAACAATCCATTCATATTCATAATTTATGGAATGTACTTTTATGCCACTATGTGAAATAGGCAGGAAGAATTATGAGTCAGGAAAGAAAAGAGGAGAAAGGTTCTGTATTTTATCTTATTTTCTAATGATTACAAGGTTTTTGCCTTTAAATAATTGGCATTTTATTTTGAATCATTTTCTACTTGGAATCCTATATGCCTCTAACAATGTTTACATTGTAAATAATTTCATGTGTGAAATGGTCTGGACAAGCAAGTGGAAAATCTACTAAAGAAAGTGTCCATTAGTGTTGTTTGGTTGCTTACTCTTTCAACTGGAAGCAGTACTGGGTTACATTCCAGCCACTCTTTCTCCTCATTTTACTTGTTCTTCCATGTGGGAGAAGGAAATAGGGCATCGGATGAGATCTGACAGCCAATGAGACCCTGGAAACTTGGTATGAGTGTTTCAAAGGGGTGGAGAATGTGCTGTCCCTGCATAGAAACAGGGAGCACCTGGCTTCGCACATCTCTCTTGTCCTCGTGGAACTGCCCATGCCCGGGGTCAGTGGGGTCTACGCCTCTCTTCCCCACACGGTAGAACATAGAGTCACCTGTTCTAGCAGGAAGGCCAAGTCAGTTTCTGTTCTCTAGGATCTAGTTTCTTACACTGGGACTAAGTGGGTAAATATGGGCTACTATTGTTCCAAACATCTAGTTTCTGTAACTGTGCCCATTTCTTAAAAAAAAAAAAAAAAAAAAACAATTATAGGCAAAGGAAAGAAAATGGGCAAAGAAAAAAGATTATTTTCCAGCAAGAAGTTAAGAGGTTAATTTACAAAAGAATGATCATCTGATTTTCATTCATGGAAAGCTAAAAGTCACTAGCCATAGACATTATTTATTA